TTTGTCCATGGTCCTTACAGGACTTCTCTTCTGTGGTGGCCTCCAGTGTCACCCTTCACACAATCATGTCTGAGTGCTGGGAAGGAGCAACACATCCCTTTTCCTACTGCTGCTTCCACTTACTGAGGATGGGACAAAGCAGTCCTGTCACCAATGCTGTCGCACTGATGATGATTGCCACTGGCACGTGTTCCCTTGTGTTTGGTTTCCGATACTCTGGGACATCCCTGTTGCTTGGCAAGTGGCATGTGGGTATAATCAGTCTCAGGCAATTTATTTTTACTACCCTGTGTAAACACAGTGCTGAAATTGTCACTGTGATTTAGGAGGTGCCAGATTTTTCTGTTAATTATTTTTTTTCCCCTGTTTTTTTTCTTTTCTTTCTTGACACCTTCCAGTCCATCTCTGGAATGACACTTCATGAGCAGCTTTCACTAAAGATTTCCCCAGTGATGGGACATGCTGTTGAAGTCTGATCTCTGTCTCTCCAGGCTTCCCTTGATACCTGGAAGCTGTAAGAGGCAGAGGACAAAAATTACCCTTCTCTTTCGCCCAGCAACCATTTTGTGTGCTGAAAATAGAAGTATCATCTTAAATGAGCCACTCAGAGAGACATAATCACCCAAATACAGACGAAATCACTTAAAGATTTTGAAACCAGCAACCTCATATATTTTAATTATAGACTGCAGTGATATTCTGCTGAAAGCAATTATGTTGTAGCTCTTCCCACACACACAGGCAGTCCCAGTTGTGCTCCACAAAGACAAGCAGTTAAACGTATAAGACATCATGTATGTTTTGGGATTTTTTAGTCCATTTTTGAACACTGCTTTGAAATAAAGCAAGAGATTCTCTGTTCTGGACACAGCCTTATTGCCTACACACAGGGTACCTTTAGGTAGGCAAATGTAGGAACGTTGATTGCAGCAGCAGAAACATGTATCTGCTGCAAGAACAACATTTCTCCCCACTTTTTGAATGGCCTCTTGTTTTTGCTATGGAAATGGCCGTCCCTGCTTCGTCAGTACTTTTTAAACTTGCCATGGCCAGAAAAGATGCTTCTGTTTAAAATCAGAGAAACGATCCACTAAAAAGCTCCAAATGAAAGATATCTATTTCACTGGGTTGGACTGGCCAACAAGCGTGGCTTGCTGAAATGTGGTTGAGACACTCAGATACAGTTCATGCTACTGATACCCCTTGCTCTCCCCTTCAAAATTAGCCAGATGAATGGGGCCTTTTGTAGTGAGGAAAGAAATGGCCAGAAATCACAATAATCCCTTTCTAGCCAGGCTTCGGTAGCATGGCGTGAGTCAACATCTCTGCCTGGTGCTGGAGAAGACGGAAAACAGCAATTTCTCAGCGGTTTCCTTGGCATGTTGGAAACTGAAGGCGATCTTCTCGCACGCAGATCATTCCACCTCAGGCTGGTTGCTCCCATTGACTCTGTTCCAGCCATTCAAACACCATGGGGCTGCAGACTGTGAATCACATCCTTCAAAGACCAGCACCATGGCCAAGCATATTTGTCCCGGCCCAGTGCCTTGGTACCCCTCAGGTGATGGGATGTGGCAAAGCATCTTCTGGCTTTGGAGAATGGTGGCTTTTGACTTCTCTGTGCACACTTCACAGACCAAAGCTTTTTCTCTCTATGAGAAGTTATACTGCTTTCCTGTTATTCTAAAACTAAGTACTTTGCACATTTGGCAAGTATTATTAAGTAATAGTATGAGTGATGGTCTGTGGTTGGAGTTAATTTCTTCCAGTTCTCAAAGTGTCTAATTACACCTTCTTCAATGCTAACTGTACAGATTGTTTCAAATGTGCAAAAAAAACTCTTGTTTAAGTAAAAAAAAAAAAGAAAAAGAAAAGAAAAAAAGGAAAGAAAAGTCTTGATTCATCCCTCTGGAGTGAAGGTATGAGACTAGAGGCATAACCTAAATGTCTTCTGACTTCAGCACTGTTCATGGTTCTGTACTTCTTACTCCAAGAACACTTGAAAGGGTAAAAACCAATAGGCCAGGTACTATCTGGTGTAATCATCCCATTTATACAGTTCCAGTACTGACCAGCTTAAACCTACATCTGTCTTTAGCTTAGACCCATGTCAACTGAAGACACAGATGTAGCTAACCTCATTTTAGGAACTTGTGCCCCACTTCACTAGCAATTCCCATGGTGGGAACACCATGAACATCTGCCTGGTCCTAGTCCAGGGCAATGCATAATGACAGGGGCACTGGAAAGAGCCTGATGTGCTTCACCCCAGAGCTAGAACAGGGTACAGGGTAGATCCATACGTGGGATCTATGGCATGTTGGCTGAAAACAAGAGTTTGGTAAGCCACTATAATTTGGTTGAAATACAGATCATTTGAGACTTCCTTTGATGACTGATGAGAGATCAACACAGCTTTTACATGGAGACATCTCTTAGAAGAAATTCTATCTGAAGAGACATTTCTACCTCTTTGGTATGGCCAGTTGAGAAAAACAAACATATCTTGCAGCTGATTTTCTAATTACAGTGTCAAATGATTAGGTGGGTGACAGGGGAGAGACTAGGGGCGCAGATCTACCAGTCGGATTGTGAGAAGAGCCACTGGTGCACATCACCCTGCAGTGCTCAAGAGACATGCTCTGGGAAGGTACCAATGGCTTGGTTGTGCTTAAAACCTCTGCTCACCATTACACACCAGCCTCAGTTCAGGCTGATCACAAGTTGTTTGCTGGCCCTTGACTTCAATGCTTAATATAAGGGTTTCATGGTTATCAGATCTTTTTCCCCCTTGTCAGACTATAGAGGAGAAAAATAACATGTAGAATGGGAAGTATGGATAAGATGGGCATCTCTTTCATGACAATGTATGGGGCTTTGGGTGATTTCACACAATAGCCTGGGTTGAGGCTGCTCAGCTCATTCAGTCACTGTGATCACTGACTTCTCCAAGGATGGACATGTCTAATTTGAATGGTGGCCTACAGGACTAAACGTGGTATCCTTCGAGACAGGGCTAGCCCACGTTGTGATTTATTTTTCTTTCCTGGGGTTTGTGACTGAATCAGACAGGAGAGAGGAAGTGAAGGTTTGTTCTTTCTAAAGATTTATTTTGTTACATCTGCAACAAGTCAAGAAGAGAGCAGGGTGGAAAGACTTTTGGTTTTGGGCCTGGAACAAAGCTCAGTGCTTGAGATAAACAAATGGGGGGAAAGGAATTATCAAACAGCGAGCTGGCCACAGACTTTGTTATGAGCTTTACTGTAACAAGCTGAGAAACTTTGGTAACTTAAACCAAACTGAAAGAGGACCAGACTTGCAGGGTAAAAGGAAAAGCAGATGATTGAGGTGCTTTGAGGAAGTAAAAGCTCGGTCTGTCTGTCTGCCTATCCATCTATCCTACATTGCTCTAAGATGTGGAGATACTTGACATGGAAAACATCCCAAGCTTTGGTTTAGAGGACCCAGCAGATTTCTCAGGCATGTGAGTTGAGCTGCCATTGACTTTGATAATTATGGACAAGCTCTATTGACTCATCCATCTAACAAAATTAGTGATAACCTCTTAGTTTTTGCAACAAGCACCAAGACACCTGAATGCAAGACAAAATGTAGGTCCTGATGCAGCCGGGCATTGCATTCATGTGTGATGTGTGATTCTACTCATGGCCAGAATCTACATCCACACTCAAGGCTTCTTTCTGAGTTGGCTGCAAAGTTTTCAAGTATAACTTGTCCAAGTTTCCACTGGTAAGCAGGTGTTAATAACTCTTACCTAGTGCTCAGGCCAGTGGAGGAGCTGAATTACTCCATGTAGGTCAGCAGAGATGGTGAAAAATAAAAGAGAGATACAGTGTTTGTTAAATGAATAGAATTTATTTTTCTGTGGGGAAAAACAAAGGGGGAGAAATTATGAAACGTTAATTTCCACAGTGTTAAATTAACAACAGCAAAAAGCACTCAAAAGAATAAACTGCATGTTAAGTAAATTTAAAAGAATTACCGTAAAAGAAATGCCAGCTTGCTTTTCTAGTGTTTGCAAATCACCATTCACCAAAATCCTTTATAACATCTCCTAAAAAGCTTAGAGGAGCGTGGCAGTGGAAGCTACCTTCCACATATCCTTAGGTCCACGGTGTCTCCCATTGGAAAGATCCTTAGGACAGCAGTGTCTCCCGTAAGAAAGCCATGCTTTGGACTCTCCAAGGGGGAGATAACCCTTCCAGAAGGCAGCTCACCCCACCCCAGGTCTGACAACATTTACCAGTTACCTGTGCTGAATGCTCTTTATCTCACTGATACCCTATCAGCCCCGTTCAGGCTGGTGAGATAGCAAAGTGGCACAATTAGCAGCAATTAGCCTAGGGAGAAACCTGTTCATTGGTGGCTCCCAGGATGGAGGAAGTCCCTGTCTCTCAGTGCCTCTAGAGATGCTGGTGGGTTTGTGTGGCCAGTGACCTGGTAGCCAGGATGGGGTCTGTGCTGCTAGTTTCCTTGTATTGTTGTGTGTGATGGGGCTGGGTTTAGGGGCAGACCCCCCAGGCAAATTGGTGAATGGTGGGAGGGTGTTTTGGAGACCACCCCATGGCATTGTAGAGCCACTGGTCTTACGAAAATTAGGCAGGCTGATCTTGCACATGATGGTGCATGACCACCAAGCACCCTGGTAGGACCTCCTGCTCCTCACTGAGATGCCTGCGATGAGAAAATGTCAGTCTGGTGTGAAACTGGGAGAACTGGAAAATATGAGTTGTTCTAATACAGTGATAATGGGGTGTGTCTAAAGCAGCAGAACCCTTGAGATGGCCCAGTCATATGATGACCCCTGTACATCCTATAGGAGAATAGGGGAAAACCTCAGTTCAGGTGAGGTTCCGGTCATTTTGTGCCCACACAGGCTTATTTGCATGGCAGCCTATCTCAGTTACCTAGGGCTGTGGAGGGTTGCCACGATTACTTGCTCCAGATGTTGGCTTTGCCTACACCTTCTAGGCACTCACCGCTGAGATGAGGGTTGCTCTGTCTCCAACCCATAGCTCAGCCCCACAGCATGGTAGGGGATGTCCTCCCTCCTCCTGCATGCACACAGCTCATGCATGGTTAAGGGCCCTGTGCATGACATCTCTGAATTAGCAGCTGGCTGTGACAGGCATTGGTGTTGCTGGCCAGAAACCTGTAAAGCAGAAGGGAAAATTATTTTGGTGGCAGAACTACAAATACTCAATAAAGCACAGCTTGTTTTGGTGCTTTTTTATGTGGTTCTGTGCTGACTTTTTCTCCCCTAATTCACAACAGAAGTGAAGCAGAGCGTCGTAGAGATTGCACATGAATCCTTTGCACTTGGTTAATGGGAACAATTACAGAAGTTTCTTCTTTTTCTTTTGCCAAGCTGTGATATGAAATCATTTGTCAGGTTCCTGTTTCCATGGAAACAATTAGTTTCATACCATTTTTCTATTATACGTCAATGAAGTGATTAACTAAATGAAGGCAAACACTTCATAAATGTATTGTATCACGCAATAACCAAGTAGCTACCAAGTACCACAGCTAAATGCACTTAAAATTCAGTAAAACCAGCTCTGCAAAAGACTTAACAATTGTGTGAATATTTATTGGTCTGATACGGTACATCATTTATAAGCCAAAAATACCAAATGTGGGTGTTTAGGCGTTGCAGTGCTTACTGGCTTTGGAGTAAAGCATCATTTTCTCAAAGGATCTGGTCACCTTGAGCCATTTCCAGGAAAGGGCTTAGGGATCTGTTGTGTGATGCAGATGGGCTTCAGTTGCCGATGATGCTAAGAGCTGCCCGTCAGCCATCGGTCCCTCTTGCAGGCAAAGGCAAGCCAAAAGTGAATGACTTGCAGGACCTCCTAGCACTGCGATTAGTGTGCCCACAGGGATGTGATGGGTCCCCGGCCCTTATCCAAGGACTCTCTACATATTTTCTCCTTAAAACAAAATATACAAAGAGTCCACCCAGCACGGAGTGGAATTCAGGGCTCTGCCTGTTCCTTCCCAAGCACATCTGGGAGCCTTTCCCTTGCAGACCTAAGCAGCTGCATGGCAAGGGAGGGAGGAAGGGAGGGAAAGAAGGAGAAAAGGAAGGAGATTCCTATGCTCTGCCACAGAGGAGAGCAAAGGCTGAAATGGGAACTGAATTCAGGGACACTGTGGTGAAAGGCTCAGCCCCGAATGTCTTTCAGCAGGATGGGAACAGGATCACAGGGAATCGCAGCCTGGGCTGGGTGATGGACAGCCCTGACTTCCCTCACTTCAGACCTAGCAATGCTTAAAAGGCTCAGTAGGAGTTGGAGTAGCTTATTTTAATGAGTAGTTAGGGAAGAATTCACCGTGCAACTTTCTGTATTGGACCCTGAATCCTTATTTCACTGGGCAACAGAGTCTTTCTTGAGGACAGCCCTTAGACAAAAGGGAATTGCATTTTCCCCTTCATTTAAGAATTTATACACCAGTGGTCATGCAAAAATAATAACCTGATTTCAGTTTAGCAACTTAAGACAATCAGAATTTTACTTGGAAAATTGTTTTTTTCCTCCCTTTCCTTCTCTTTAATAAAATATGTCCTGGGAAAGTGGTGGGATGAGCATAGAAAAAGTCTTTGACGGACAATCAGTCCACATTCAGTGACCCCTTACATAGCTATTTCTTAGATTAAGCCAGTTAGTTGAGTTTTCCAGACAAATACAGCAGAAATTTCACAGAGAAACCTGACATTAAATCATTTTTTAACCTGATCCCAAAGGGCAATGTCTCCATGCAGGGGGTAGGGCTGTTCATCGATGTGTACAAAATGGATCCAGCTGTCCAGTGCAATGGTATTTTCTGTAATCCTTTCTGCTGACAGGCCAGCAGGTGGTGAATCACCAACACATGACACAACAAGAAATGCTCCATGATAGATGAAACAAATGCACAGAGCTGTATCTCCATCCATTTGAGACTGGCAGCCATCTACTACCACCTGACAGAATTGTTTCTCTCTTTCTGCTGTGACTGTCATCACCCCCTATATGGCTTTTCTGCTTATTTATATTTCCCTTTGCTTGTACCACAGTATCTCAGTTGCAGCTTATGCTAGAAGCATCCTCATCACCCTACAAAGGAACTGAGGATAAGATGACGGTTAGCAAGGCTGTCTGCCTTACCTGATCCTTCCTTGGTCCACTTGGACCAAGTCGCACGACCAAGGGTATACCATGGGCCACCCTCATCCACAAGACTTTGAAGCTGGGACTGTGTCTGTGCCTGATGCATGTTTGCATGTTAACAGCACAGATGGGTGGCCAATCTGGTGAGGGGAACAAGCTTAAGTCTGCATTTAATGGTCAGTGTAAACATCCCCCCCCCGAAACCTCTTTGCAGAGCCAGCCTCAAATGTCTCTCAGCTATTCCCCACTCCCCTTTTACCACCCAACCTCCTGACCTTGCAAAAATATGTCTCTGAAGGGTCAGAGCTTGGGTCTGGAGCAGATGCTGATTCTGGGATCAGGGGTGGGCAGCCCAAAGGCTGGAACATTCCTGCACAGGGTCTCTGGTTGAGATAAGGCTGTGATTTACTCCAAGGAAGTGGAGCTCGAGTGAGTCCTGCATGTTCCCTGGGAGATGAGGCAGGAAAAAAATCCTGTGGAATAAAAAACTTCAAATCTGCCAGTAATGGCTTGTTTTAGAGAAACATCTGATTCTGTGCAGCTGAAAGCACCACAGTGGTCTGGATCACAAGCCATTGCTCACAGCCTCCAAGACCAAACGCACTGCGAAGTACCAGACTCAGCTCAAAGGTGAGACAAAGAGCTGCAACACTTCCAAGTAAGAGGAATCCATGTGAAACGATTGAATTTTGGGGCTTGGGGGGTGATCAGGCCTTCAAAAACCTGTTGATCTTCCCTTACCAAGGTGAGCCTACACCAACCTAAAGCCAGCAAGTCCAAGCGCAGCTGCTTTGGGTCAGCAGGGAGGGAGAGCTGTGAATCCTAAAACTGAATTGTGGACTCTATCCACAAATACCTTCTCTAAGAGTGGTTATCAGTGGCCTTTCTCTCCTAAAACTGCTCTGTCACAGAGTCTAGAGAACAGACACACAGTGGGTCAGCAGCAGGTTCTCTCTTTTGCTGGAGAGGGTTGCCCTTGCAATTGCCCCTGTGCAAAGTGGGTGTTTCTAGGCTCAAACAACAGGGAAACTGAGGTTTTAGGGTTGCAGTTCTGGGTTGGAATGCTTTCTATCCCATCTTTTTATTTGCCATTTATTTTAATCTCAAAATTATAGTATCTACAGTATTTGAAAATTCATAATCCATCCACAAAACAACTGGCACACAATGAGGGTGTGAGTTCCTAACCCAGTGGCCCAGCAGTATGGAAACATAATGATGACTCCAGGGGGCATTTCTTCACCTCCTCTTGGTGCGAGGATAGTGTGTATGTCCCCACCAGCCCATCCTGCCATTTTATTCACCTAATCCCTCACATTCCCACTGATTCAGCCAGCCATGGGTCTGGGAAAAGCGGAGAGCCAGCCACACTGGTATGCAGATAAGGTTGTCTTCATGGAGGGAGACATGCAGGAAGATTCTTCCAGCTCCATAACACATCCCCATGGAAAGAAAATATATACCAAAGGCTCATGGATGATCAAAACTGAAGATATTGAGGTATAAGCATCGGTGGCATGACTGTCAAGAAAGCTTTTGACTGTGCACAGTATGGCCACAAGATAAGCAGCACGTGCATTTGTGGGAACTCTTGAGCTAAAAGCAATGCCACAGTTAATGCTTTGCCTATGATCTCTCTACACCTGCAGTTCTGGTACCCAGATCAAACATTCTAGATGTCACCAGCCCCAGTGAAAAGCTGAAGAAACTAACCAGCCACTTCACCACATGCATCTGGTTCTCCCTTGTATCTTGCTGTACTGAAGCCAGCCAATGGCTCGAGATCTTTGCCCAGCAAATGCATTTCCAGTACTGGTGGATAATTGTTGAGAAATAGGTTCAAGGAGACAGAAGTCCAGATTAGTCTGAGTTATGACTCCACATCTAAGGTCACACTGAGAATGTGACATGAAACCCAGGAGTGAATTTTTTTAATGTACAAAAAACATTCATGGAGCACAACAGATGACTTTGGAATTTGAGCACTTACTTCTATTTTTTTTCCCCATATATTTTATTACGCAATTTCTTCCTCCTAGAAGAAATACCAAGTTCTTTTCTTATTTTTTTTTTTTTAAACAAGCCAAAAGGGGTAGTACTAATAATCTGGTACACAGCCTGTGACAGTTTCTTTTGCTGCTTCAGCAGAGGCTGACAAATGGCCTTAACCCTATCTAAGGGAAGGCATTGAAATGAAACAGGTAACAAATAGAAAACACACAGTTTATGCAACAGCATGTAACTAAGAAATCTTCCCTTGGAAAACAATAGAGCCATTGTATTCCCCATCTGAGCCGTCGATAAACTCCACTAGTCCAGGGCTGTAATGAATTAAAGGCTTTTCGGCAGCAGATACAATTGCTATTCGTTGCTAAGAAAAGCTCGTTGTCTGGTTGTCTGCAGCATGCTACATGCATATGTTTGTGTTCCCAGCATAGTAAAAACTTGCAAAATAGTGGAGGGGAAGGTGATTACCAGACTTGCGTGACTCAGCCCTGTTGCTTTCTCCCATTTGGTAGGATACTGTTTCTCAATAACATGGTAGCTGGAATGCTTACAACCAAAACGGCTGTTGTTTTGATAACAGAGCTTGACAACCTGGTTGGATGGACACAAGCTCCTCTGCTACCTGGACTATCAATGTTGTTAGACTCTGTCTTTGGAGGTTTTCAAGGATCAGCTGAAGAAAGCCATGACCGACCCAGTCTGTGGCTGGTGATGGACTTCCTTGGAGCAAAAGGTTGGGCTGGAGCCCTCTGAGGTCTCAATCATGTAGATACCTGTTAAAGCAGAGGCATCGGGACAGTAGGTTGCAGGGTGGGTTACCAAGGCACCAGAGCTGGCTTTGAGCAAGGTATTAGCTCTTCCTTTGACTGCATTTCCAGCAGTAGTCTGCCAGCCTGATCTATATTGGATGTATGCTGCTCTTTTGGTTGGAAGGGCAGAAGAAGATGCTCCCTGGCAGTAGGTATGGAGCATTGGCAGTGGGGTCTGCAGTGGAAAGCTGTAGCTATCTGACACCAGAAATGGTTAAGACTGATCTGTTAGCACTTCTGATATGCCTGTAGCAGCAATTAGGGCTTAATGCGAGGCAGAAGAGATGAAATCCCAACGGTGGAAATTAGGAAGTGAAATGCCAAGAACAATAACTAGAACAATGTCATGAATTTCCTCCACCACAGCACGGAGGGAGTGTGACAAGGAATATTTTGATGGGCCTGAATAGTTCAGAATGTTAATTTCACTTAGGAAATTCCAACTATATATGCTCAATGCTTGTGTTTTGTTTTTAAATGTCAGCAATAGCTTGAATTTCTAGCAGGGGCATGAATTACTGGAGTGGATCCTGGGCTCCCGTCTTGCTGCTCCATGGGCTCTAAACCAGTAAGCAGCTTCACAGAGCTGGGAAAAGGTTTTCTCTTGCATCCCCTTTCCCAGAGCACACACATACCATGTGTCATGTTGAAACTGGATGCACCTGCTAAAGGAGCTGTGTGGGGGCAGACATTATACACCAGTTATAAATCCTTAGGCTATCAACAGCCTTCAGTAAACATTTGGACAATCCTTCCTACCTCTTGGTCATCCAAATATTTGCATCACACGGGGCTGCTAGCCGTTTCCTGACATGCTGAGTCTCTAAGAATATCCTTGGATCGTAGGTCGGTTCCAGCGCAATGTGATGGATGGTCTTATTGGGTGAAATAAATGGCTTGGGAGAAAGGAAATAAAGAAAATCTATCTGTCTCCTGATAATAAATCCAGGCCAGGATGGAGTGAAACAGCTTGCAGTCATGAATGGTGTTTTTAGAGAGTTTTTAAGATCTGATCTGAAGCACCTAAGGGTTAATGATGAACATCCCAGAACTCAATTAGTGGATATACTTCCCTTGGTGACTCTGGCCGCTTTGGACCAGGCACCAGGAGAAACGGTTGAAGATGCTCCTGAAAGCTCTTCCTTCCTGCTGTGCTGAGCACAAGGCTGGAAACAGCCTGAGCCAACTTTGGATGTAAAATACGAGCCTGCTGCACCGAAGCTGGGTTTGGCAGCTCTTCCCTCCAGAGCAGAGCATCTCCCAGGCAAACTGCAGGAGGAGACCACTGCAATGCACAGGGCTTGTAATCCGTGTGCATGAACCGTTTAACACAGCAGAGTTGCCAAACAGAAATAAAACACTTATTTTTCTCTTCATGCAGATAGAGGAAAGCAGCCTGGACTCCGCTTTAGCAGTTAATAGGGTTTAGTGGTTAATTGGTTTTGGCAGTCTTAAACACAAAATCCGTGTTTCGCGATTAAGACTACTGTGCTAAGTAACAACATTAGAAAGATGAAGCCTTGCAACACAATAATTTTTGTCTTTTACTCAATACAGGCTGTTGCTTTATGGCTAAGTATACACTATAATAAGACAGTGAATTTTCTGGTAACGTAGTAAAAGAAATAAACAACTCAGCTTAACTGCAGGATGAAACCTCTTAGGGTATAACATGGCTGTTCCACTGTAGCTGCAGTTCGAACCTTTTGTTTTAATATTCTTTCCCCTCTCAATAAACCCACCAAACCCATGACAAATAAAAGCAACATGGCTCGCTATTACACGGTAACTGAGGCAGAGGGTGCCTAAATGTTTTCTAACTGTGATGGCAGGCTAAGCTCATGCAGCGAGTTTGCTCACCCCCCAGGTAATTCCTCTTTGCCACCCCTCAGTTCCCCCAGCATCTCCTCTTCCCCCCACCATCCCGCTCATCACTTCCTTTTGGGAAGCCCAAAACTCCAACCCCTCTTTGGAGAGACTAAACAACATCTGCAAAGTCGCCTCTCTCCCCTCCAGCCCTCCCAGGGGAAAAGAGCCGGTCCCAGATGGACAGGAGAAAGCCAGTGTCACCGGGGAGGGTGAGCAGGGCTCCTGGGGGGTGCCGGGGAGCAGGGATGTGGCGGAAGCATAAAGCACCTGTTGGGAGGCTATTTAGGGATTAGCCAAGTGCTGACAGACAAATTGGCAAGATTAATAAGAGCAATCAAGGCTGTGTGGGCTCGAGTTGTGAGCTGACATTAATGTGACATCACTTTCATCTGCTTTTGCCTCACACCGCATAGCTGGTCTGCAGCATCATTAGTGCTTCTAGGGAGCAGCGCGGTCGGATGCGGGGTTACAGGAGGGGGGTGTCTATGAGAGCGTGTACATGTGTGTGCACACACGTGTGTGTGCGTGTCAGGGCAGGGGACAGCTCATTGTGCCTGTCCTTTAGCCAGTCCCCACAGGCTGCCCATAGTGACCAGCACTAGACCTGTCTCCACTACAGGGCAAGACATCAACAAGGGGATGGGTGTTTGGGGGACCTCCCACCCTCAGCACTTCCACAGGGCCTACCTGGCCCTAGCAGCACAGGCTGATTTTGGTGATGTTCTCTCTAAAACTCTCTGCTTCTATTGAGTTTTGGTTTTT